ATCTTCTTTTTCGTACCATACTACATCAGGATCATTTGACCATTTCCAACTGTTTAATCCACTCTTAATCATCGCATTTACCCGAATTTGTTTTTCTGTTATGTTTAATACCTGACCCGGATAATGATTTTCTTCGTATTTAACAATTACGTAATAATTTTTTTGATAAGTTTCAGATCCTTGAACATCAGTGAATGTAGAAATATTCTTGTCTCGTTTTTTCTCTTCTCTTAATTTTTTACGCTCCGCTTGTTTTGCTTCTTTAGCTTTCGTTTCATCTTCTATTTTTTGGTGGTATATTTGCCACATGGCAGCGCATAGAGTAATATCACAGAGAGTGAACTATTGTTAGTTAAAACTAAATCTAAAAGAGAAGAATTATTTCCAAGTCGATAACTTTTCTGTAGCACGTTTTTCTTTTACTTTTATAAGAGCAAACTGCGACTCCAGAGGATTTCTATTAGTTTTGATATCAGATTAATAATACTGGTAGTTTGTTCAGTGTCTTTGGGTTTGATGGTGACTGCAGATGCGTTTTATTTTTTAGAACTTGTGAATAAGGAGCAGGAATTTCATTTTTAATATCAGATTTTTTAACCTCCTTTAGATTTTCTGTTGCTACTTTTATAAGATCACTTTTCAGGGCTTCAAATACGCTATTTAAATTACCTAACATTTCAGCATGCTTTTCTTCAAGGTGTTCGGTTTGATCAGTCGAAAAATAATTTTTATCACATTACTAGCTGACTCCGTGAACTTCGTTTCACCTACAATTTAATTTTGAATCTGCAAAACGGAATGCGTTGAAATCTTGCAGATGTTTTAAACATAGGATAAGCAAATAATAGATGCATTTTTATTCAAAATATATTTACTTATTCCCTCCAAAAAATTGACGTCAGCCCAAAATTTTGCCAAATGAATCCTATCTAAAATGTCCAAAATAGGATGAGACTATACTTGTGATTTATCATTCCATTCATATTTTTTAGTTTTGCTTATAGGGGGTGTCTCAAAAAAATTAATCACTGAGTCAATTTATTTTATTGATTGAATCAAGAATTGCAAGACTGAATTTTGAAATATTGCAGACGTTTGGATGTTACTGTTTGACATGGTAGGTTTTTAATCAAAACATATCTGTTTATCAAGCCCAAAAACTTGATGACGTCATCTCAAGATTTTGCCGAATAAATCCTATCTAAAATATGCAAAATATCATCAGTATATTTGCGTAATTTATCATTGCATTAATATTTTTTAGATTTGCTTTTACAGTGACTCAAAAAAATATTTGGATCAGTCAATTTATTTTAGTGAATAACTCAAGAGTTGCAGAAATGAATACTTTGAGATCTTTCAGACGTTATAAAGTTATTGTAAGCATGGTAAATTGTTAAGAATATTTATGTGTTCCCCCCAAAAAATTGATGGAATGGCTCACTCGATTTTCGCAGATAATTTTGGGAATACAATACAGTTATTTTTAGTACATATTACACTGCACCAATCCAAGGTGATATACGTGTTGATCGTAAATGTTGATTAGGTCATCACAAAATTGTGTGAAGAAAAGACTCAACTCGAAAATGATGAATGTTTCGTTATAATACTTTCGGTGCGAAGGAAGTTCTGTCGAAGCAACGTTCGATCAATTTTTTGACAATGGTTGATATAAATAAAACTCAGTAGATGCTCATACTCGAAATACGAAGTATCTACTCGAATATCATATCAAAATATTTCTAGTTTTTCTAGATGATGCTAATACTTCAGTAGGTAACAGTTGATGCTCAAGTATCATCTCGATACAACAAAAAAGGAAAACAGTGACAGTGTTCAATCATCAAGGCAAAAATCGAGTCACCAAAATATAAGTTAGTATGGGGTAGACACCTTTAGATGGGAATCTCTGGCCAGTATTAGAAAAAACGCACTGTACAATTTATGCATAAATAAAAGTTAATTACCTGAAAAGTTTTCGATATTCCCGCTCCTAATGTGTTTTTCAAACTGAATGCACCTTTTGAAGACGTTCCACGTTCATGAAACTCTCCATGTTTAGTTAAAATTCACTCTTACAACGATCCTACTCGTTTTCTAAGCTGCTTTACAGACAGCTCAGTTATTTGCCACGCCGATGCTCATTTTTAGATTAAATGCTCACAAAACACGTAGATGTTCAATTTGTGTCCGGGGAGATACAGTGTTTCCAAGCAGGTACTCTGAAGTTCTGTGAGGTACTCAGTAGATAAAGTAGATGCTCAGGTATATGAGTAATAATGAATGTCTCGCTTGAATGTTTTGATTATGTTGATTATGAGCACAATGCTGATCAACTTCCATATCCGAATTACCCATGAAATAAATCATTGCGGTTTGCACCTGAGGTAGTTCGTCGCACATTTGATTGACTTCGTGGACCTTTGTCAGCTTGTCGTTTTCTCAGCATTGTAATGAACTTCATAAAATGACGTAAATGATGTAAATTTTGTCTTGAGAATTTTAAAATACTGAAAACTTCAAATTAAATCCTCGAATAACGGTAAAGTTTGAGGTTTTGTCGAAACCAACAAAGTGAATATAGGTATAGCTGTTCTTTTAAGTTTTCCCTATTTTTTTTTATTTATAAACCATCCCTGTAATATAAAAAATTCTTCAAATCGGTCAAGCCGTTTTTGAGTTTTAGCGAGACTAATAGGAACACCAATTGATTTTTATTATATAGAAGATTAAAAGATGGAGGTTGGTGGTAGAAAGGTGAAAATTTAGGGTGTTATGTATTTTTTTATGCCAAATCTTAAAAAAAATAAAAATAAAAAATTTTGTCTAAAAAATAGACAAAAATTTTTTAGGGTGGGCCACCCTTATCACTTAGGAGTATAAAAAATAGTTTACAACCTATTCTTAGACCTACCGAATATACATAAAAATTTCATACAAATCGGTCAACCCATTTCGGAGGTGTTCGGTTTCAAACACTGTGACGCGAGAATTTTATACATAATAGAAAAGTGTTGTTTTTAGGCTTTTTCAGGCAATTTTTAAAATTTTTCTCTCCGTAAGAACCATCCTCGTACTTCAACGAATATTTGAAAACAAAAATTAGCCGAATCGGTTGAGTCGTTCTTCAGTTATGCGCTTAGCAACACATTTAGCGATCCATTTTTATTTATATAGATAGATATAGTCTTTGCCATTTCTATTGAAACACCACCTGTTAATCGTAAATTTGCCAACGTTCATATTCAGACAATTTTGGAATTAAAAGCCGTTGTCAATCAACCGAAAGCTGTTACTAATTGCTAAATTTTAAGCAAAATCAACAGGTGGTGTTTCAATAGAAATGGCAAAGACAATAGATAGATATGGATTACCTAAACAACAAATTTTTTGAAAAATTTTGCGAAATTGGAAAAAATCTTGTATGATACACGTGAATAAACGAATTTCATCCACTCAAAAACATTATCACACTCAGCTTCGCCTCGTGTGCTAAACTGTTTTTTCGTTGGATAATAGCATGTTTTATACGGAGAAAAATGACTTTTCGTGGCTCATCTGTAATTGCCGGACTCGCGCGCTCGGCCGTCAAACGTACAGATTCGCCACGAAAAATCTCATTTTTGCTCCTTATAAAACAATATACTATTTATTCACTTATACCATAACAAGTGAATAAAAATGATTTTATCCAACGAAAAAACAGTTTAGCACACGAGGCGAAGCTGAGTGCGATAATGTTTTTGAGTGGATAAAATTCGTTTATTCACGTGTATCATACAAGATTTTTTCCAATTTCGCAAAATTTTTCAAAAAATTTATTGTTTACGTAATCCATATAATACATAAATATTAATTGTACTATTACTAATATGATGAACATTTGAAGAAGGTAAATTGCCTAAGCTGCCTGTACTTTCGTCACGGTCAAATTCAAACGATACTCATTAGGTTTGTTTTACAGGAGGTGGACTATCATCCGTTGCAAATTTTAGTTGAATATCCACACATCCATAGCAACGAAAATTTCAGTGGTCGTGCGAATTTTTAGTTTTTTTACTTTATTCGTGTTGTCAATGACAGTGTGAATAAAGTGTTGCTATAAACATTTTATTCATCCTTTCGATTAAACTATTGTTTTAATAGCGAGATTTATCATACAAAATGACCATTTTATTAGTAGAAATTGGAAAAATAGCTATTATCTGTATTTCCAAATATCTTTAGAAACACGTTATGCAAGTGTATCAACTTTTCTATTTTACGTTGTTGTAATGTATAGTGGATTAAATTTTACGTTTATTGTAGGCATACTACACATTTTTACAAAAAATCAAGGCCAACTTGATGACGTTAACTTACAATATAAAAAATAAAAAGGTTTGCCTTGTTTATAAAAACAGAGAATGGTTCTCCAGCACAAGGCCAAATATTCTATAGGAACAAACTGGAATTATTACCTTCATTACAATTGTAATGTCAAAACGGGTTTTTTTTTAGACCATTTTCACAGATTTTTTTTCTCTAGTTTTCTAACTGGCGTATTTGTATTTCTACCGTAATACTTTTTTATTTTTTAAAAATTTCAAATTTCAACACTTAAATATACAGCTATGATGAAAAAAATCAGTATTGGGATTTAAAAAGAAAAAGCAAGGAAAATTTTACTGTTACTTACATAAATGGATTATATTTTAAGAACGAAGTCAGACTGTCAAAGTTGGCAAGGCAAATTTAGAATTTAATTTTAATGGCAACCATAATTTGGTAAACCACAGTTATTTTAAATATCAACTAAAAACCGATAAATAAACATGTAATGATGTTAAATAACAACATATTGTTTTCATCACTTATTATTAAATAAGATAAAAGTGATTTAAAACATAATTCATATATGTTATTTTTATAAATAAATAAAATTCTTCGTTTACTCCTTCTGCAGGTTTAAACATAATAAGATTAATAAGCTTCACAGAATACCTAAAATACTCAACAAAAATTTTGCTCATTCCGCTGAAATTAGTGATGATTTTAATGTTTACATTTCTGGTTTATATAAGTCTAGCATGACACGGCACGGTTACGAAGTACATAACCTCGAACACGTAATAATACCCATTTTAATCAGAACTGATTGTGCGTATTCATACTTCATTCATTCTGTAGTCGTTACTCGTCTTGTATACATATCAGAATTCGGGTGTTTCAAAACTGTTAATATTTGGTAAGAAAAATTTTATTTTTTTTTATTAAATTAACTGTGTTTAGATGCAGAATTTTCAATGCAGTTGAAATTGATCCAAAAATTCAAATTTTATGAAAAATTTTGCTGATTTAAATATGTGTAAAATTTTCATGGGTGAATATGCCATTTGAAAAAAAATATGGTTAGTTTTTTTGTTTTTGAATATGTGATAAAAAATTAAATAGATCATCATTTTTACAGTTTGGTAAACTTTGTAATAAAGGTGTGTTGGTTTTTTCTATATTATTTTAGGGCAAAGTATCACATGATAAAAATAATTAGTAAAAACATTCAAGTGGTCCGCAAAAAAATTTGTGCACTGTCACATATAAAAAAAAGGGAAATGGTGATAACAACTGATAATATTATGATTATATACAACACATATTTTATAAAAACTAGAATAAATGTAGTGCGGGAAATATAAGAACAAGAATTAAAATAAATCTGTTATGAACAATATCTGTTTAATCAAATGGAGTTTAATTATAACGCATGTTAATTGAAGTACACACATAAATAATAATTAGAGTAAATATCATTATAAATTATTATTGTTTGCAACTTATAAAAATACACCATTTAAAAATACGTGTGATGTTTTGAAAAAAAAAACTATTTTTTCAACAGTTTTTTTATCTAATGTGGAAGATTATCTTTGTAGTAACAGATATTTAAATTCATTTGTAGACGTAAGATGCCTGACAAGATAGATATAGTCGTTTTTGGGGCTACAGGTGTTACTGGCAAGCATGTAATTCCATACCTTGCAAAATTTTGTAAAAAAGAACATAGGCACCTAACTTGGGGAATTGCTGGACGCTCAGAAAAGAAATTGAGAGAGATCCTAAATTATTGTGAGAAAAAAACTGGTAAGTTACTGTACTAATAAGGTTATTAAAAAGATGAAAAATCTGTGTAATTTGTGTTCAGATTATGTACTGCAGAATGTACCCATACTTATCGCTGACATACAAAATGAAAATAGTCTGCAGAAAATGGCCCGACAAGCACGTGTTATAATTAATTGCTGTGGACCCTTTCGATTTTTTGGAGAACCTGTGATTAAAGCATGTGTAGAAGAAGGCACGCATCATGTAGATGTAAGTGGAGAAGTCCAGTTTATGGAGGAAATGCAACTAAAGTACCATAAAAGAGCTGAAGAAAAGGGTGTTTACATTATTAGTGCTTGTGGATTTGATAGTATACCCGGTGATATGGGCATTGTCTTCACGCAGCAAAACTTTTCAGGGACTTTAAATTCAGTTGAAGCATATTTAGAGTTTTGGGAAGACAGAAACCCTGGTTCAGGCTCAGCAGTTAATTATGGCACCTGGGAATCGATAGTGTACGTCATTGGATTAGCTAACGAACTGAAGAAAATTCGTCAGAAATTATTTCCTAATAAATTACCAAGTTTTCAACCGAAACTGAAAATGAAGTATGTATGGAAATGTATTTATATTTTTCAGACACAGCAAAGCTAATTTAAATACTTTAGAGAAACCATGCATTTTAATCATTCGCTTTTGACGTAAAAAAAAATGTCGTATTACTCATTTTTATAATTCAACAAAATACTATAACCCTTTCAAAATATGCCATGTCATAAGAATCTGGAGTTTCCGTTAAAAAGAAATGCCAGTGCCACTATAATTTTGATGTCTGTTCCTAATTAAATCTAGCGGTTAGAGAGTTTTTGTCAGATATCTTTCCTGATTTTTATCGAATTTGTGACAGGCTTTGTGCATCATTAAAATACAAACTATTTAAAATATGTATAGAAAGTAATTTACCATACACACCTTTTGTAGGTTACTTCCACGAAAAACTGACATTGTAAAAGGATGGGTAGTACCTTTTCGCACCACAGACCGTTCTGCTGTATATAGAACTCAACGTTACTTCTATGAGAGAAATTCAAGACGGCCGATTCAAATGGATTCTTATTTCGCTGTAAAATCTTTTTTAACTTTGCTAGTAATGATTTTTGGTGGTCTTATGGTCCTGGTAATGAGCAAATTTTCCTTTGGACGTAAATTGCTGTTGAAGGTAAGTACATTTTTTCTTTTTTTTTTCACATAAAACATACATATTTCGAATAAATCTAGCATATTTGTAAATTTTTAGTATCCTGAAAAGTTTACTAACGGATTTATCACACATGAACCTCCAAGCATTGAAAGATCAGACAAAGGACACTTCAGCATGACTTTTTATGGAGAAGGATGGAAAGAGAATCTACCAGATGCCAATCATCAATACACAAGCCCACCCAATAGAGCGATTACCACCAGGGTAAAGGGGAACAATCCAGCATATGGAACTACATGTATATGTTTAGCACTGTCGGCTATAACAATAATCACGGAAACTACCAAAATGCCTAGAAGTGGAGGTGTTTATCCACCGGGATATGCCTTTGCCAATACCTCTTTAGTTAAACACCTAAATGCAAATGGTGTAACTTTTGAAATTCTACGTGAAACAGAATTGAAATGAACATAGTTAAGCTGCTACAAGATACAAAATTGTGTGTTATGTTAATAAAAAATTTTGTTAAATGGTACCATTAATTTATTAGTTCTACAAGCTGACGGTTTTCTTGATAGCGCACGATTAATCACGAGATGTGTTAATTAATTATCAAAATTCACCAAATTTTATCGAACAATAAAAACATTTAAAAAAATATGAAAATTCATATGTATTCCAGATTTATAAACAATCTTTAATAATTTAATTTTTAAATTAATTTAAAAATTTGCTTCATAATGATCTAAAAATATAAATTTAAGTTTATGATTGATTAAAATATTTAAAGTGTTAAGTAGATACTGGGAAAATGACCACCAAAACTGCCTAAAATTGAAAAACTCCAGGAATTTTATATACAGCGTGTTATTGAAAGGTACGTACAAAATAAAATCGGCAATTGGTCTCGAAGTATGGGTGCTAAAAGTTAAAAAAAGTTCAGGTAAAAGTGTTTTCCATTTAGAGATAAAAATTATTAAAATTTATGTCCAAATTCGTTATACGCCTCTGATAACCCGAGGTGGGTTAGGTAGCTTCGTGCTTGCCCGCTACACCCTGGGTCGTGGGTTCGATTCCCGCCCGGCTCTGGGTGTTGTGTATGTCCTCCGTTCCCCTGTAATTGGGCCCCCGGCCTGTTGGGGAACGTAATCAAATAAAATAAAAAAAAAATAAATAAAAAATAAAAAGATCATCTCCCGTTTCTATAGCAACATTTAGACTTCACAAAAGTTTTATTGTTACAGTTGCTAGGATTTACAAAAATAAATTAATTTTACCTATTTATCCTTCAGTAGCGCCTAAAAAGGTTGGATAAGGGTTAATCTCTAGTGAATCAGGGTATCTAGTTGGCTCGTCCTTTGTGATATGGAAGTCTAAGCCTCAAGAATGCGAATGTTGTGGCTGTGGTTAAGGCACAATGCTATATTATTTATATTCTCCTCATTTCATCACGTCATCAAGTTTTCGGAAGGGATGAACAGATAAATTATGATTAGCTATTTATTTTGTTCGCGATAATCTTAAAGCATCTGCAAAATTTCAGCGCAATTGTGGCTGTAATTTTTAAGAAAAAATCAAAAATTATGATCTACGATTTTGCTTTTATTTTAATTCAACATGTGCAAGGGTACAAATAAGGCTGTATTCATAAACCACACATCTATGAACATTTATTTTGAACACTTTAAAGAGGATTTTCTTAACAAAATGAAAAAATCAAGTCGTCACTGTTTAAGTGGGGATGAACAATTTGTCCAATAGTTTCCGAGATTAGGTACGTAATGGTTATAAAATTACCAACAGCGACATAAGATCGAGAAGACAGAAACGGGAACCTTATTATTTCGTATTCTAGAAGCTATGGAACGTCGAGAAAACGAAATTAATAATTCATCAAGTGGACTCTGTTACAATACTTCCCTAGGTTACGCCCAAGAAGTAAAAATACCTAGTAAAAGTTTTTCAGGTAGTTTTAACTTTGTTTATTTTTGCCTCCATAATTATTATTGATTTCGTTTATTAATTTTGTCAAAAATCAACATTTTTTCTAAAAATTTAAGCTTCTGTAGTGTGGTGACCTGATTTTAAAATTTAAATTTCGCGCTCAGAAAAGAAAACAACACATTATAAAAAAAGATTAATGTTTTATTGCTTTTGGGGAACAGCGAAAAGCATCAACCTTTGGTCTAATTTGGTTTATAATATCAGCAAAAGGCAATGGTTTAAACAAAAACTTATCGCATTAGTCCCCCTCAACGAGAATAATTAGTGTAACGACAGTTTTTTCGCAGTACCTCTTTAGATAAAACTGATTTTGGCAAATCACATACCTTCCAAGAAAAGAGACGGTGGGGGGGTGGGGCTAATACCTGCTAAGATAAGAGTGATTTTGGCAAATGAGATACTCTCCAAGAAAAGAGAGGGATTTCATTTGCCAAAAAGGCTCTTATCGCAGCAGGGATTAGCTCCGCCCGCCCACCCTCTTTTCTTAGAGGGTATATCTCATCTGCCAAAATTACTCTTATTTTAGAAGGTACTTGCTAAGATATGGCTGATTTTGGCAAATGAAATACCTTTTACGGAAAGAGAGGGTGGGTGGCGGGGCTAGTACCTCTTTAGATTAAAGTGATTTTGGCAAATCACATCATACATAGCCATCTTTTCACAACAAGAAACTTAAAACATGGTTAAAATGATACATTTTTGCAAGGAAATATGGATTTTGTAGTTATGGGGAGGTGTCTAATTGCAAAATCGATATTTTCTTATTCAAATTTACCACTTTAAACATGTTTTAAGTTTCTTGTTGTAAAAAGAAGTCTACACATATTTTTTTTATTTGTCGTGAGTCAAGAGGCGGAGTTTAACTGTAAAATCCTTATCTCTCGACTTGCTGTTCCAAAAATATAGAGCGTTTATGGTCACGGTCTAAAAATTTCGATATTTCAGAGGGCGGTTCTGGAGAAATGGTTGGAGTTATCGAAAAAATGGGGTCCGAATTCCACAAGAAAATGTATTTAGCTAAATATTAGTCGAAATTTGCATAGTGAAAAATTTTATTTTTGAAAAAGTTCTTTAAAGATTCTCAAAAAATTCAGGGATCTAAATTTCGACTCGCTGAGTCGAAAAATATAGCATATTTATCTTCCCAGAGACAGATTATAAAAATAATACTCCCTTATATTTTAAAAGGATTTTTTTTCAAAAATTCTAAAAATTGCTACATTTCATTGGGCAATTCTAGAAACATGGTACGACTTATTCAAAAAATTAGGGGGAAAGTGTCTTCTGGAGGTCGTAATCTATAAATTCTATTTAGGTCATTTTCGAAAACAATCGAAAATAAGTCGAAATTTTCCCAAGAGGAGGGTATTCAAAAATTGAGATTTTATTAAAGTTGTTTAAAAATTTGCAAAAAAAAATCTAAAACGTAGAACTGAACGTGCTGATTAAGAAAATGTAGCATTTTATGGTCCTTCGGCAAGATTTTAGAAATATATTCGGTTTGAAATGTAATTTTTTTCGAAAATTCTAAACATTGCCACATTTCATTGGACATTTCTAGAAAAATGGTAGGAGTTTTTGAAAAAGTGAGGCCGAAAGTATCTTCTGGAAGTCGTAATCTATAATAAATTTTATTTAGATAATTTTGGAAAATGGACGAAAATATATATATGTCGAAATTTTCCTTAGGGGAGAGTATTACAAAAATGAGCTTTGGAAAAGTTGTCCAGAAATTCGCAAAAACTTCTAATAGATAGATCTCGACGTGTTGATTCAAAAAATGTAGCTCGTAATCAAATTAAAATCTGTTCAGGTCAAGATTTTAGATATATTCGGTTTTATCTATTTTGGGTTGCCTGAGCTGCCTGAACAGTGATTTGATTTTCATCGAAACACTTGCAATTTGGATAAATGCAGTGTAATGCGAATATATAACATACGCAAATAAAAATCATACAACTACTTAACTTTTTTATTTGATTTTGTTATTACATCGTTTCTTCGTCTCATGAAATTAACGTAAAACTGAATCCATGAATATAAAATTCCCACAGAACAATATAAAGAAGTTAACAGAAGAGGTAAGTATGGTAACTTGTTGTGAATGCCTAACACATGGTGCAACACATTTTCATAGAAAAATATTGCGCTTAGTCCTAAAATATACACACTCTCTACCTTATTTAACAACGGCAGTGAGAAATTGTGAGCAGCAAAAGGATACACTTTAGATAAACTGTGAAGAGCGTATGTTGAATATAAAATAATTAACATAACTTTAATAAAAAGTAAAGAACTGGGGAAAAGTAAGGGAAATAGAGAATAGTGACCCACAATTCCTATTAGCAGAAAGGTTTTAGCGTCATTAACATCCATTATTGAAAGGATACTAAAATAAAAATGACTGCATTCTCAAATATTAAAGGAAAGTAGCACTTACCTCAAAGGAATGATTGCCATTATTATAGCTTTTTCGTGCACATGCCAACCAAATAAAAAAGAAGAAAGTGCACACAACACTATAGACCTCAAAAAATCTGAAGGGTGCCTGTTTAGCGACCACAGCTTTATCAAAGCCGGTAACATCATAGATGCAGTCAGTACTAATGTTACTATTGGTGTTACACTTGGAAGAACTTCATGTGAAAATTCTTGAACCAATCCTCCAGTCATAGAAGCAGATGAACTTTTTTTCGTTACAATTCCAAGTTTTAGCACTATAATATTGAAACTTAAAACAGATATATCAAATTTTCAAATACTTACAAAATAAATGCAATATTTTGTCAATAGTGTTATAAATCGCCCAAAAATTGGGTGCCCAATATGCATGGCACAGGCCTCTTTTAAATGGAAACATTCTTGACAATACCTAGTCAAAAATTAATTATTTTAAAATATTTCTATAGAGTACGCTAACCTGTCCTAAATGGTCATAAAATGGCAAAAATGTGAATGAAAATACACCAATTACAATAGCACCTAGAGTAGCAAAGTTTTTGATAGAGCGTGCCGTGTTAATGTTGTTTTTAATTGAAACTCCATTCAGGCAATATTTTCTCAATAAAAAAACAAAATATGCTGGGGCTAAATACATATAAATATGTTTCATATTTAAGAGGACGGAAAACCAAAATGCTGCAAGTACATATTTTGCCTAAAATTTCAACCATGTACTGTACACATCTTCATTTCAATAAACATAGTAACCTGCATAGCATAAGATAATGAAATTAAAAGCACTCCATACAAAATTCCATTATACTGGAAATGGATGTGATCCACCATAATCAAGCCACAGTTTGTAATTAATAAAATCGGAAGAACAACATCTGTTCTCCAGCTTTTTTGAATAGACTTGCAACATCTACAATAGTAATAATAACAACTAAAACATAATCAAAAGTTAGACACTTACAAATAACTGCCATAGGCATACACTAAATCAGTAATGATCACAGACAATCTCTGAAATAGTAAAGTTTGCTGTGATTCATAATTTAAATTTTCCACAACCAGCATATTTTTGTCAAATAACGACGCTACGAAAGACAAAACATATTCAAAATATGCGAATAAAGGGGGATAATCTAATGTCCATTCGGATCTGTCCTCAAAGTACCATCTTTTTAAAGGTAAACTGTGTGTTATTGCCATCCAATTTCTGTGTACTTCGAAGTCCGTAGACCGGCTAAAAGACGACTCGGAATTATATATTGATAAACAGCGGAAACTTACTAGGCCGGAATTAAAAGTAATTTGACACATGTTGTAAGACATGTTACTGTAAATATCATTGTAGATGTGGAATGTTCTATTAAAAATTGTCCAAATGCAGAGTTACACAAATTTTGTATGATACCATTGATAACACTATCACAGATACATATTTTGTTAAGATTGACTAGATGTTAGGTTATGTGGTTGTCAACACATACTTGACACATCTCACATGTGGCACTCGTCGTGACATCTGTGGATTTTTTTTAGAGTAGGAGGCAATAGTATGTCAACTTTTATTGATTGACGTAGAAGGATTGGAAGTGCGTTATATTTATGTTAAATTATAAGTTAATTTAATTTTTAATTATATTTCTGTAATAATAATTAAATACAACATGTAAAATCGATAACATCATTTCCGTTCAACATCGTCGACAATAGTAGTGCCATCTGGTGTCGATATGATAAAATTTGAAATTCACAGTTGACAGACATCTCACGCTGACAGTTGTTTGTATTTTTTAAAAGTTAGTAACCGAAGAATAATTTCGTTGTTAAGTACCAGGTCAAAAAACGCCAGTAAAAATGATTGAAGGTGTAAAAGTGATTACTACTAAGTTGCCGACATATTTGGGACAGTTATTACAAGAAGATCGTACGATAAAGCTGGTTTTTGTACAGGTACAGTTTATTGCATATACAGGATGTCTGAAGATTTTTGATTCTAGGTTTTATAGCGCGTGACCATTTCGGTATTTGTATAAGTTTGAATTTACTAGTGGTGGAAAGATTTTTTGTGGTCAGACGTTTATTTGATGGTTTCTATTCTCAGCAAGCTCCCAAAACGCAAACATCAAAGAAAAGTTTGACCACAGCACAAAAAGTCTTTCCATCACCAAAGTATTCACAAGTGAAACGTACACTTTATTGTATTCAAATTTTTCTAGAGTTTACTGACAATCAACAAGTGCTTCAAGTTGTTTATATTTTTGAATAATATGTGAGTTTATAACACAATAACAGTATATGTAATATATATGTATTTAATATGATTCAGCTATTTTTTACAAGAAGTTTTTTTGCATATATAATAATACCTATTAGAACTGTTGACAATGGAAACATTCCTATCTTGTTTAATAGTAAATGAATTTATCAAAAAGCAGATATTGGAAGCAGTCTACAGAAGGCTTTTGTACCATATGATCAAAAAAAAAAACTCGTCTAATAGGTTGTGCAATTTAATTTGACAGTTATTTTACCTTAATTCTCAAGCTGAACACCAGAAAAAAAGTGAAGTCTCTGCTGAACACTGAACACGTTATTGCCAACAGCATAATTTTAAAAATAAATTGCACGACGAGAAGTGGAGTTTTTGTCGATATCATATGGTATTTTTCGCATGTTGCGAAAATTTTTCCCCAAATTTTACAATTTAAATTTTGAAAAACAATAAAACAAGGTTTTGTTAACAGGTTATTGAAAGCGTCTGATTTATTTGCATAATTTTGTTAGTTATAAAAATATAATCATTTTGTCAAAAATATAATTCAGTGTTTTCTTGTATTCTCACAGTTCGTAGAATAGGAAAATGCAAGTTTTCTTATTTCTCTCTTGCTCTGTTGGACATGTTTGCCCAGAAATTTTAAGTGTTACCTTAAAGTGAAGACTTTCTTATAACTTATATTTACTCACGATGTAATTCTTGGTAATATCGCTATTTTGTGTTGACATGATTTTATCACAGAATACTGCACCTCAACAAGAGTCCAAAATAAATAATACTGTCGAGGTTAGTCAAGATACGAGCAAATTCGAATTAACCGGAACACCGTTACAAACTGATCTGGGAACTGATGAGACACTTACCAACGATGAATTTTCAAGTAGACCATCTAATTGGACTGCAGAAGAAGCTAAACAATTTCCTCTTACTATAAAACACGCTAGGTAAATAAATGGCATGTAATTTTGTAATTTTAAAAATGGGTAAATTAGGACATGGGTATTATTGGTTGCATACTTTTCTGCATTATAATTTTTGTTTTTAGAAAATTCATAAATGATCTGTTGAAAACGAAAAAATCAGGTGAATCGATATACTGCATTTGTGATGGGAATGATCTGCAACGTACAGTGGGTTTAGGTGTAGCAGTCATTCCTTGTAAAATAAGTCGCCTATTGGTCTATGTTTTGCCATGTTGTTACACAAACGACGAAATTATGACACTCGAATATATGAAAAATGATCATATTAAAAACGTTGGAAGAAATGCGCAGGTCTGGTTTAATATAAAAAGTACATCTAAGAAATGAATATTGTTGCAGATCAAAATTTCAACCAACAAGATTCATGATCTGTATGGCTACAACATGGCAAATTGTCATGCTTTGCAAAATACAGAATATAACGGAAATATATCAATCGAAGTATCAACAGAAGAAGCTAATAACATTTCTCATAGCAACACAAATGTAAAAATGGTATGCACGCACATAGCTTGGTTGTCTAAAATAATAATAATACTTTTAATGATTGTTAAAGAATTTCCAAGTCATCGTGGGTCATAAGGATTCTCCTTTACTTAAATTTTGGGAAGAACTGTGTCTCCTCCAATCATACATCAAATTGTTAGAACGTGTAAATGAACTCGGCAGATGTACAGTCGTTAATTTAGAAAATAACATTTCCTGTGAGGAGATTTTTTCAATTATAAGGGAATTTGTAAACACTGCGAGTATTTTCAAAAAACTCACCTACGGAACTTTGGATTTAAAAAATTTGAGACCGTTGGATGTTTTGGACAAATTATGGAATGTGTTGAGCCGTTAGTGTGTTTTATCTTAGTTGTATAGTTTGTGTAAAGTATCATGTTTCAGAATGTAACACCTTGTCGGAGTTACGTGATTGTTTTCATTTCTTCTTTGAAGAAATAGCGGAAACACAAACAAAGTTACAAGTACAGACTGAAGACAAATCCGTCGTGGCTGATATTGTGAGTGGAATTTTGAATGGAAGAACAGCTGTTCCCACTCTGAGTTATGTGCAAAGTTTAGAGCTGCTGATAGATGCAGGATTGGAAAAATTGAAAAAAGATTATGTTGTAATTATTACAAATTTTTCTACTATTATGAAGGAAGTTATTTTCAAGAAATGGAGGTAATTATATCGGCATTTGCATGTTTGCTGGATTAACACAATATTTTTTGTAGAGAATTTTCAAATACTTCAAATGTGAATTCTAGTAATGCTTCACATAAAAAAACTACTAGGATAACTATAAACGCTAAAACCGTAATTACCGATTTAACAAGCCATAAGTTAAAGTTAACATATTTGGATTCTATGCAAAAAGTTGCTGAGTTTATGTTCCTCTATCAAGAAAATTTGTCTCAACTGGAGGAGTCTTTTCATTTCTATTGTGACAGTCTGTGTGATAAGTTTTTGGTGAAATTTCCAAATGTAGTTCAAACTTCTGATATAAGGCAACCTCGCTTGTGTCACTTCTGTGTTAATATTTCTTCAGCGGATGCACACCACTTTATTAACGAGTAAGCTTTATTGTTTTAAAAGAGATGTTATATATATACTTTTTGTTTATAGTAAGTCTCCGTTGGCTTTTTCCGTTACTCTTTTCTCTACTATAAAGCTTGCAGATGTGCAGACAGTATTCCATTTTTCGGATTATCCAATTATCCCCTCATGTATTTTTGAAGCTTATGGTAAGTGTGTTAATTTTGTTAAGGATGAGATTGTTACAAAAGTACAGTTTCCTGTTTTCACCTGTCTGTCGTTTGTTAGTTGGGAATTTATAAAGTAATCTCTGAAACTACTGGAGTTTTTCGCCATAGTAATGTTATATAATAAATCTGCTTTATAGTCATTGTTTTATCTAAAAAAAAAAACAGTCTTAAGGCTATATCATTAATACTGTTATTTTTGTTGTGTAATCCATGAGCCCAGCATAATGTCCATGTCCTTTACTACAAAATTAAAAGTTTATTTAGACATTTTTGTACCGAGGGAGCAGTAAAAAAACACCATTCGATCGAAAAAAAAGCCCTTTAATAGGCCATTGAGTTTATCTTCAAAATAATGATGTTGGTAACACCGTTCCTTCTTCAGTTTGACAGTTACAGTCCAATAACTGTTAAATAAAGTGTCAAAAATAGCCACATGCCAAGATCATTATTAAAAAAAAATACGGTCTACTAGAGCAGATTTGTTTCGATCATATCCGATATGTGAACAGGCGCAACAATCCCAATTTCAAATTTACGTGATTATGTGGATTATCCTAAAGAAAATTTTATATTACAGTTTCGGCCACAAAATCTTGGGTAGTTCTATCATTCCAGTGACATAAGCTCTTAAACAGGCTTTACGTACTTATAACCTCAAATTTACCATATTTGTCATGTTGACGTAGACTGGAATGTGGATGATGACGTACGTCAAAATTAATTTTTTTTTTAATTGACAGTCTGCCCAAGATTTTCTGGCCGAAACTGTACCTCGAAAATTTTGTAATAAATTTCTTTGAAATTTTGGCAGAATACTACTGAATACTGTTATTAACCTCCAAAAATACAATCTCTGAAATTTGTATGTAAATAATTGTATTTTTTTTTCAGAAATTCCTACTGAAAATAACGAAGAAAAGTTAATGTTTGTTACTAAACTTGTTAAATATGTCGATAATTGTTGAGATTCGTAATAAAAATTTTACTTTTAATGGTGTTGGATTTGTTCTTATACTCCCAGGAATAATAAGCTGCAACCAGAAATGTACAACACAACGTTTAAACAAGTACCTAAAGAAAAACATTTGGAAGCAAAATTATTGGCCACGATAGGTACATTTTAGAAATAAATTTGATTTCCTTTTGCCCGTCGTGGTTTCAGTTGTGTCTTACGTATGTTTTTTTTTGGCAATTCTGTTTTTGCCGGATCAATACTGTTCACTACGTTAGGCATTGTCATAAAATTTAATAGTCAGAAGTAGGAATGTATATACTTAGTTACATTACTAGTAGGTACGACGAAAACATTATTGTAAATTGACTGAAATTTTGTGTTGTTCCATTCATTTATCACTTTCTAATTTTTTGCTTCAAAAATCTCTATTTCGCGTGCTGTTTTTTAAAATTACTTAATTCTTTTTTTTAATATCCATAGAAAAATCCTTTTATCATTTTATGCATTTAACAAGATCTAGAATTGGTGAAAGAAGTATAAGACAATATTTTGATTATTATTTATCCCACTAGTATTTTTTGTTCACCTGTCCTGCTTAGCGTTAAAATCTAATCTAATCTTTATACTCGGATTTAATTAATGTCAAATGTAGTAAGCTTTACTACGAAGCTATCTATATGTTTAAATCTTTAAAAAATATCTCCGTAATCCAGCCCTCTTGTAGGAAATGTACAATTGTATGCATGCGTAGTACCTGAGCAATATTAAGTAGATAGTAGTAAATTGCCTATTTTAAAGAGTTACGTACTGATTTTCTGTAAATGAATCAGCACAGATCTTTATAATAAATATTCATATTTTGTTGAAAATTATTTTGTCTTTTTAAGTGCTTCAATTGTGTTACTAACTCATGCAGAAAATTAGAAAGCTTATTTTACATATGTATGCACACCGTGTTTGTATATTTTTTAATGGAATTGCAATTGGATCATTTTTTTGTTTTGGTAGTTTGTAGCTGACGTGGCTGAAACCGGAGATAATTAAATTAAAAAAACAGTGGCCGCTGTCATTAAATTTTTTTTTTACTGCCAAATTTGTATGTATAATCTTGTTCAAGTACCACTTTTGCTTGAATTTTGGTCTCCAAATCCTCGTCTTTTTTATTTGCATCTTCTATTGGGGCGTATGTTGTTAATTCGATTGCCTGCTTTTTGGTCTGATTAGTAATATTTTTCCATGTAGATTGTGATTACTCAAACATTCCGCCAAAATTAGACATGTGAACAGAATTTTAAAACTCGCGAAAAATTCAAAATTTGGCCCCCATGTTGTTTGTTGTAGTCTGTGTCACCTTTTCTTGATTATTTTAGTCTATTGACAGGTATAATACACACACTAAGCCCAAGAAACTTGCCACATATTGTACGCTGTACCCAGTCATTGCAAAATAACCAGCTATTTAACCAAGCTGCACCAGATATAAATCAATTTGGGCAAATGACAAAAAAAAAACGCAAACTTTAACTAGAAACTGTGTGTTCCGTTTTTGCCACACCGTCTTGTGCGTTTATTTCAATTAAAATTTAATTCTTATCTTTCTCAAATTTATAACGATAATTAAATGAGTATTACAATTTCTAGAAATGAAGCAAGCAATATTAATTATCATACTCTATCAATACCCTTCAAACAAAAATTTGTACGATGAAATAGTTAAAACTCAGTTACACAATGTTTTCAACGTCAGTTTAAATAAATCCCATAAATATAAATCTCGATTGAGAAGTTTATGAAGTGTGAATAATATAATCACTTAAGTAAAAACATCCAGAACTTTTGAATATATAGTGATTTAAAATAAGTTGACAAGTGAATTTCCGCCACGTGCTTCACAGGAATATTTTCCATGAGCAGTTAAAAACAGTTAAAATTCTTAACATGAACTATGAATTTACAAACAATAAAGACAAAAATTACACACATTACATTACATATTTCAGATTAGAGAATCATTAATAAACTGACATTACACTAGTTACAGTCTATCAAGACACCCTTAAAACTACCTGCGCAGTACTCCAATCCACCTACCCCTACGAAGTCGAGGGTGACATTCCTCTACGAGTGGAAACGTATGATGATTGCCCACGTTATCGATCGATGTTCTGATTTTTAATTTTTCAAATGCACTTTCGATGTGTTGCTATTTTTAGTCGGCGCGAAATTTAAATTTCGGTTGAGGACACCACAAGACATTGAAATTTAATTATATTTTGTCTTAATTTTTTCCCTGTTTACTGTCTCGTTCGTAGAATAATGAGCAGTTAGTTTTGTTTCACTTCGAGCATTAGTACGACCCTGTTTAATTATTGCGAACGCTTGTAGACCCCAGGTCAGCTGCTCATCAGTAGTGTGATAATAATTAAGTATGTTATCCCACTTCTCTTACTAATCCTATCCACTAATAATCACCAAAATGAATTTATAGCATAACTTATTAACTACATTATAATTGTTTACGTAATTGAAGCGAAAATTTATTATTCAAAGCTGCGTAGGCTTAATTTAAAAAAGTTTAACATTTTTGCTTAGTTTTCATTACATATATATTTGTTTATTACTTTAGTAAGGAAACTGAAAGTTGATGTGTACCACAGCACAGGTAGGTATGCATTTGTCATATGATTCACCACTGTTTATGTACTATTAAGTTCAAAGATATGGGTCACGTTCTTAATTTTCGTCTCACGCATACCTATGAATAATCCTACACAATTATGGTAGTTTACTGAAGTAAACATCTTTTAATTTACCGATTTATCTCTAAACGTTACTTTTTTATCAGATCACCTGTGGGTCGGTCCACTAAAGTAAATTCATAATTTAAATAAAGCTTACCTACTTAAATTTTATTGTATTAGAAAATATAAATTTAATCCTATTAGATGAAGCCCCATTCATTGCTGCCACTAAGGATTCATTATGGTTTAGTTAGTCATTGTTAAAGTTAGCTAGAAACTAGACTCGACGATGCTGCGTGTGTGATTACTATGCTTCAGTACAGTTTTTAGTGATTTAAAGGATTAGATAATTTGTTGGAAGGAATATGGTACGTACATCTCATTTTACGATTTTTTTTTTTAATTTTAAAATTTGGATTGTGGATCATTTTCAGGATGTGATGATTTTTTCTCGGCTCGGATATATCATAGTAATTGGGACTTTCCTTCTCATGATGTGGATTTCCTTAAGCGGGGCCCGTGAAACTGATTCCACGATATATCCGTCGTGCCACTTTGGCGCTTTTTGTAGTTGTTCAAAAAGTGGTCCCGATTTGGGAATCGTGAGGTGTCACGACGTCCATTTACCAAGAATCCCAGAAGCAATAAATGTATCGAAAGTGTTCATGCTTCATTTAGAAAATAACAATTTAAGGAGTATAGAACCTTATTTCCTTCAGAGTACAGGTAATAAAGTAGCCTTCAACAAATTGACAGTTCTAAAGATTTTTGATAGGACTTTACAAAATCATCATTAGCAAAAATCCACTAAATTTTATCCCGGATGAGACTTTTCTGGGTTTGGAAAGGTCTTTGTGGGAATTAGACTTAAGCTACGATCAACTTACACGTGTTCCAAATCGAGCACTGAGATATTTGAGAAAACTCATCCTTTTAGATCTAAGCGGTAAGCACCACATTAATTTAACACCTCACTTAACACTCATTTTAGGTAACAGTATTGTTAAAATCACTCCTGATAACTGGAGAGGTCTTGAACATTCTTTAATAAATTTAATACTGACCGACAATTCCATAACCCATTTACCATCAGACGCCTTCTCGGGTTTGCAAAAAGTGGAAACTATAAATCTCAAAGGCAACAACTTAAAAGAAATAGATCCTTCTGTTTTCAGAGACGGAATGGACAAGCTAGCAAATCTTATTCTTGCGGATAATCAACTAACAGCAATACCTTACCAAGCACTTTCATTTTTAAAAACTCTGAAAACTTTAGATTTAAGTTATAACAAAATCAATAAAATGCAACCAACCACGGACGTGGGAGTGCAAAATGTAAACTACAACTTCCAGTTTAATTTGGATTTGTTAAAGCTCGATTACAATCAAATTACGGTACTGAGAACAGCTTCGTTCCAGTATTTTAACGTCTTAAATAAGACGTATCTTGATGGGAATCCGCTTAGCATCGTTGAGGTAAATAAATGCTTAAACCTGAAACTTGTTAAATTAATTATTGTTTACAGGAAAATGCGTTCAGACCAGCGAAAATCCAAGAGTTGTATATGCGACATTGTGCTTTGAAGGAAATTTCGCCTTTAGCATTTTCCGGCTTAGAAAATTGGTTGGAAATTTTAGACTTATCAGGAAATCACATATCAGTCCTTCCGGATGAAATTTTCCACAGGTTTGAGGTGCTACGGACTCTTTCAATTCGCGATAACGCTTTAATAAAAATAGATGCTGTACAGTCTCTGAATGGTTTTCAGTTTTCTTTGTATAGTCTAGATTTGAGTGGGAGTGGAAATACCGCTGTCGCCATCCAGGATCTAAGAAGGTCGAATTTTTATAATTTTTGTGGTTTGTTTTGACTTAATTTTTGTTTAGACTTCGGAATTTGAGAGCTCTATTTTTATCACGTCTTTCTCAAACGAGTCTATCTCCGGATGATTTTCTTGAATTTGGAGTTGATTTAGAGGAGTTAGCAATTGTTGACGGTGGGCTAAAAACCATAAACGATAACGCTTTTAGATACGTGCGTGGGTTGAAAAAGTTGGATTTGTCTGATAATAAAATTACAAAAATTGAAAACAAAGCCTTTGTGGATGTAAGTTCTTTCCACTGGTAGATTTAGTACAAATTAGCTTTTCCAGATTGGTGAATCTTTGACAGTTTTGAAGTTGTCCGCTGGACTAGCAACTTCTCTTCAAAATCTTCCAAGTGATGCTTTTAAGAGTTTGCCTAATTTAGAAGAGTTGAATTTGGGTAACAACAGAATCAAGAATATGCCAGATACGTCCTTTCACTTCTTAAGAAAATTAAAAGTGTTGTATATTCAAGACAACGTTATTGAAGTTCTTCGTAAAGGAACTTTTCAAGTACGTACTGCAAAGACTGAAATTTTTACTAACTGATTTTTTAAGGGAGATATTCACGGTGATTTAACCAGATTATATTTTTCTTTCAATAATTTGAAAACTATTCAACAACACACGTTTGCCGATTTATTCAAACTGGAGCAGATTCATTTGGACGATAATAAGATCGAGTCACTAGAACGGCGATCATTTATGAATCTGAAGAATTTGAAAAGGTTGAATTTGAAAGGAAACAAACTATCTTCCATAGTTTACGAAACTTTCCAAAATTTGCCAGAATTGGAAGATTTGGATGTATCTTACAATAACTTAAACTCTTTAGATTTTAGTATGTTTGATCAAGTAGGATCTCTGGGGATGTTTCACTTAAACGTTAGTCATAACAAATTAGAAAAATTGGTTCTTAATCCGTCGACGAATTTCGAAGCTGAATTAGGTAATACTTAGTTCAAATTTTATTCGATTACTTTCTTACTGTGACCTATATAGTCTGCATTTACTGTCTAGGCATGGGTGGACTGCAAAACATCAAAGTTCTAGACTTGTCGTTCAACAACATCACTTTAATTTCAAAACAGTTCTTCAAACTTGTAGAACTATCACTAACTCACTTGTACTTAAGTAACAACAGAATTCTGAATGCCACTAAAGACGTATTCGGACACATGCCACATCTACAAGTTCTTGATTTGTCACACAACAGACTCTACGAACTAGATTTTGACACCTTCAGGAACACGAAGAGGCTTCAAGTGAGTTTAATTTCAAAAATGTTGCTTTTTAATTTTTAGAATTGTAGTTTCTTTATGCATCCCAGAACCGCATCGCCGAAATACCCAATGACTTATTCAGATTTTTAACTAACTTAAGAATCGTTGATTTTTCTCACAATAGATTAAGGTTTTTGCCAGACAATTTATTTAGAGAAGCTGGTTTGGAACGCCTTGATGTCTCTCACAATTTACTTGGGAAATTACCACTGACGAGTTTATCGGTTGCCTCGGCTGAAACCCTGTGCGAATTGGACTTGTCGTGGAATGGGATTTCTTCGTTGTCCCACGGAGGCCAGTTGTCCAGATTTAGAGTAAACGCAATGTTCATATTTTAAAAGAAAATTTATGATGCGAATTTTAGAGTTTGTCTTGGCTGGATTTATCATATAATCGTTTGGGACAAATTGATGGCGGTACTTTCAAAGGAGTACCAAGATTGTCAAGTCTGAATTTGGGACATAACAGTCAGCTGACGCTAGAGGGCAATGGTCTGAGTTTTCAAGGGTTGGAATACACTCTGCTAAATTTAAATCTGGATAATGTATCTTTGTCTCAAGTAACAGTCTGAAATTTGCTAAGTTAATACTCAAGCAATAATTGATTGCAGGTACCAACTATGTCGACACCAAATTTGCTCACGCTGTCTTTAGCACTTAATTTTTTGCCAACGGTTTCTGCAGAAATTGCAGGGAATATGTCTTCTCTTAGATATTTAAACTTGGATTATAACGATTTGAGTGTAGTACCTATAGTAACACATTCTTTGACTGAGTTAAGGTACTTATCGATGGTTGGTAATCCTATCACGACTCTGAGTAACACTAGTCTTCTCGGGGTAGCAAATCAGTTGGAATACTTAGACATAAGAATGTTGAATCTTAGTATTTTAGAAGTAAGTTTCAAATTTAAGTTAATGATGTTAAGATTTAGTACGGGAAGATTTCTTTTGTGCTAAAAATTCTAATTATAGAGCGGCGCCTTTTGCAAAATGCACTCTTTACGAACTTTGAAAATAGATTTGTACCGTAACGTTAAAAACCTGAACATTCCGAGAATTCTTCAGTTCAACGAGAGATTAAAAAATTTGGAAATTTTTGTATGTTTTGAAAATAAGGTTTTCACGTAAGTTAACAATAAATTCTAGATTTCCAAAGATGCAGAAAATTTGGAAAGAGAAATGTCAGGTTTATGGCCATCTAAGTTGTACAACTTGACTTTAACAGGGAAAGGGATCAAGCGGTTAAGTACTAGCATGTTCCAGGTAAGTTTTTTCACGGTAGTTCAGTGTAATCAGAATAATAATTGTAATATTCTTAGGGTATTCAAGTTCCCTTTTTTCACTTGCATCTTCGTAACACGAGTCTCCCCAAGGTTTCAGTAGACATTTTTGAAAATATGATCAACGTTAGAAATATAAGTTTAGACGTGCGGAATAATCAGCTTTTGAAAAATTTGCAAAATCCATCAACTGGACGAAAACTGAACCAACCACGAGCTACGTTTTTGACAGATCTTAAATTAAGTGAAAGCAAATGGTCGTGTGATTGTGATTTAGGGTAAGATTTACTTTATTTTGACTACTTAACAATATTAATTGTTTCAGGTGGGTTGAAGTATGGCAAAGGAAAAAGCGTCAGTACTTATGCGGTAGCAGTCCGAGTGTTTCTACATCATTCTTTACTGAAGAATACACCTGTAGACATGCAGATGATGATTTTAGAAACACTGTGTGTTCTAATAAGAACAACAGGAGTTTAATAGATGTTTTAAAAGCCGATATTGAATGCGGGTGGAGTAAAGCACCTCTGCAAAATTTCGCGATCTGGCTTATGATCTTAAGTCAGATGATACAGAAAATTGTTTGAACAGATAGTTACAAATGAATAACTTAATTTAGATTGTTTTATTTGGTAGGTACATATACAGTCCCTGAGCAACTTATCTAACATCTATACTTAATATTATGTACATATGTATAACTTAAGTCATTTTAATGTACTCATGAAAACTAATTTCAATAAAGAATCTTTCTCTGGTCTCTCTAGCTCGTCCACGCTGTCAGTATTAACAACAATCAAAACAATGAAAGTAGATTAAGTAATTTATTTTACATTTTAAATAAATATAAATAAATAGTAACCCAAATAAATTAACTAAAACGTTACAGAATTTGCCCGGGAGTGTCCTTAAAAAACAAACAAAAACTACAACTATTTCTTTGGCGACGAATACACAATGTTCACAGTTCAAGGAATTCACAATCCACAAACTCTAGTTTGATTCTCGACTATTCTCATTGCTGCCAACAACGGAATCATTTTGCATTAAGTTTGTTGAACTTGGCGAACTGCTATTGCTTCCTGTGTTTAGATTTGTTGAAATGGGCTCGGGCGGTATAAGTCCTTCTTTCATTCTTTTTTTTTGCTTCATCCTTCGGTTTTGAAACCAGATTTTCACCTGGGTTTCGTTAAGTTGCAAAGCGGACGCAATTTCGATCCTCCGTGCTCGCGTTAGGTATTTGTTGAAATGGAATTCTTTTTCTAGTTCCGTCAGTTGCTTGTTGGTGAAATTGGTTCTGCCGGTGTTTAAACAGTTGAGGCTTAGCATGCTGGAAGTGTTGGAGCCCAAACAAGAGTTTCTGGAAGCTGGGTTGGGACTCTCCATGGTGTTGGAAGGGTTGCTCGAAGTTGGGAAGTCGGGCAGATTTGTAGGAGGAATTTTTGGTACTGCAATAAAAAAATATGTTAGAAATGAATTTTTACGTGATAATCGTAATTAATTATTATCAATAAATTTTTATTATTATTAAGGAACAGATAAGAAAAGAGGGTGTGTTGACATACTTATAGTAGATATTGTTGAAATATAGCGTGACTTATTATTATTATAGGGGAAACCGGGACAAAATGACCTATGTGTGTAAAACGAAAAGGTTGTTTAAGTTTTTAATTTTTTTTTCTCTCTAAGAATTAACTAGCAGTGAAAAGTCGGTTATTGTCTATTCTGTAAGGATTTACATGGATATTTTTAGACATTTGGTATATTTTATGAAAAGTAGTTCACTACTGTGACATTTTCCATTCTTGTTAAGTAAAAATATAATTTTAAGTTATTAATTTAGCATGCGTCATTTTTTCTCCGGTTTCCTCTACATTAATTTGTTGTCATTCTAAAAACGAGACCACATATTTTATAAATGTTCAAGTATATTTCAGGTATCTTGAGATTTTTATTGACATTGTGTCTCTGATCGAAAATACCATCTTGTGCTCACAATCTTGTCGATATTAAAAATAAATTATTTTTAAATGATAAAAAGATTAACAATCTATTCATTGATCATTGATGGTTAGTGATATCGATAAACCGGCAAAGGAGATAGATCACGTAGAGTTTTGTAAATTTTTCCGTTCGATTAAAAATCCTTTTTTCTAAATTGGTTCTTCTGTTAGAGTATCTATGACGTTAAAAAACAGAACAAAAAATCGGGTTTTGTGAAATAATAAAATGTTTCTTTCGATTTATTTTCAACAAAAATTAGCCTCATGAGATTTTTAATATACAGGCTGAGTTTTAAGCGCATGTTCGCCGATGTCTCATTCATTATTACATTAGAAATAAAAGAAAAAGTTCAAGGTTAAAGTTGTACAGTTCTTTGAGGCCTATACTCTAAAATTATTTTTAACTATACCTACGCAGTGATTTGTTTTAAAACGTAACACATAACATCGTTTTTAAATGAAACATCCTATATATTTTTACATAAATAATTTGATCGGCCGCTACTCAGGACTACAGTTTATTTTTGAAATATACATGCGTTATTTTTAACATCTATGTTACAATATTTTGTGGAGAAACAAATAAAGATATGCGTTTGGTTGTGGTATACATTTTTACTTATTTATTTTTTATTTTATCCTGGGCTTAATGTCAATTCGGCGAGTTGTTGAATATTTCCACAGTCTTGGTACTTTTAACAAATTGTCGTAAACTGTTCGAAATGTAATGTTACATGTTACATGTTCTGCAGAATAAAAATATTTCACTGGATTTGGGAATACATCATACTAGTTTTGAGCATTTTGAAAAAAACACCCCAAAATGAATTATGTGGATATAATTGTGGAACATCACATATTTGATCCTTCTGTATTCAGGTAGAACCTTTAGAGATTTGGAAAAGTTGAAAGCTGCCGTAACTGAAAGATCACATCAGATAACCTGTTAGCAATTAGCCCCAACAAGAAAAAATTCTACGATGATGTTTTTTGTGAGGTCGGAAAGGGAGCATGTCAACTGTTGTTATTATCTGTATTTTTGTTCTTCGAAAGATTTATTTTTTCAAGAAAGTAGTTTTTTTTACAAAGTGATCATGTACTGTTAACTTGATTTGTCTATCATTTTTTGTTATAATTTATTTATTACCTACTTACACTGATTTATTTTAAGTGTCTAAATTTCATTCTAATAAATTTTTAAATGAACAGTTTTGTTGTGATGTAATGATATTGTAAATAATAAGCGTAAAGTAAGCTAGTGAATTTAAATTGGGATTGATTTAAATGCTATTTCAGGTGACGGGTCCGTGAAGTTGGCGACTCGAGTTTAATCAATTTTATTCAAAAGTTAGCACTCCGTTTTTCTAATCGAGCACTGTGACTATTAATGATTGAAGCAAATTTTTTAGTTAGCAATTCTGAATTATTGGCAGCAGTGTTAACATGTCAGTTCACAGCTGTCAATTTTGATATTAGCGCGCCTAAAAACCAATGACAAGATTTAAAATTTCAATTTTACGTCGGGCATGCTTTCACAAAATTTTAAATATGATGGCAACCTGACAAAAAAAATCACAAACATACAACGTAATTAATATACATTAATTGCGTTGAAAACGGTTTTCATTTAAATTTCAAAGCACTAAAAAACGTCTAAAACTAGAAAATGCTATTTGTGGACAGCGTGGAAGGAGGAAGTAAAACTGAGGGTATAACCGTCTCAAACTGTGGTGAAAAATAAGGCCTTTAAGACAGAATAAACTATTTAAAATAAAACTTTTCTTGTGATTTTGAGATTCAAGCATTTTTGAGGAAAAAGTTAATTTTTTGTAGTTAAAATTTTTATAAAAAAAAATATATACCGGGTGTCTGGAAAATGGCGAATTAACTCTCCTCTACGCTCTTAACAATCTACTGGTGAGTCTGGGAAAAATAGTAAAAAAAATCCTTCTCGTATTTTGATGGAGTTATAATGATTTTAAAATTGGTTCTTTTGCTACGTTTAACAACTAAACAACTCATTCATCATCACAATAACTATTTTTTTTAGTAATAAAACTTTTAGTTAATATCCTTCTCGCCCATGACCATGTTTAATTATCATTTCAGTTAGAATGCACAAAGATATGGTTGTGTTGTTTTTGTAATAATTTGATAAAATTCCATTTGACAACAATGTTTGCTTGATCTAAAGCGAAGGTGGATTTCAGTCACCATCGTTTGCCAATTTTACTTTTATAAAATTACGTTTTTTTCGTAATCTACATCATAAAGTATTTTTTTATTATTTTTTTGGGACTCCCGAAACTCCAGTATATAACGTACTGAAGAGTTAATCCGCCATTTTCCAGACACCCGGTATATATTGGTATGGACTGTAATAATTTCTCATAGTTTGGAAAAACAGGCTTTCGGAATAAAATTGACAATTATAAGGAAGCGTGTAATCAATCAGTGATACCGAAAATATTAGATTTTATTGCTGCCAAACAATTACAGTGGAATTCTTCGTCTGTTATTTCTGAGAAACAGAATGGTTTTTATAGCAACACATCTTCATTAACTAATTTGGTGGAGTACTGCTATTATCTGAATGAAGTTTTCTCTCAAAAACAAAAAATAGATTCATTTTACACAGATTTCTCGAAGGTACTTAAATTAAGATGAATAAATTAGGTTTTATTGGGAAGACTATCAGTTGGAATAACATTTTTTTTTATCTAATGGAGCTCAGCAAGTTAAAATTGATAATCATTTGCCTTCTCAATACATTGCATTTTCCAGTGTACCGCAAGGTTCACATTGTGGCCTTACATTGCTTCAATTTTCATTAACGATTTGAATCGGGATTTCAGTACTGTAACTTTTTATTTTATGTTGACGATCTGAAATTATTTAGGACTATTCAGTCTGTTGATGATGCTTTAGAATTTCAATAAGTTCTAAATATTCTATACATAATATGAACAGTGAGCAATTTACTTCTGTTGAATTTAAAAAAAATTCTTTTTTTAATATCAAATTGATCTTGTATTTTGATTACCAATTACGGACATCATCAGTAATTCGTACAATAAATGAAGTAAAAGACTTAGGAATCATTTTTTCTTCAAAACTTACGTTCAAGGCGCGTTATTATTATATTTTTTGTAAAACATCAATAAGCATGCTGGAGCTTATTAAAAACGTTGTATTTTTGTATCGTGTAGTCAAATCTTCAATATACCTCCTATACGGTTCTATTTTATCGAAAAGATATCAATCTTTGGGAAAAAGTCCAGAAAAAATGTTTACGACTGTTGCAGTTTAAACTTAATCGGGTTCATCAAAAAGAAGATTATATGTTAATGGTTATTTAGGTAATCGCAACTTATTGAATCAACTAGCATTTCTAATACCTCCTTCAAATATTTAGTAGAAGAACCAGAAGCACAACGATATTCAGATTCTCTTTAAGAAACTGAATCTTCTTTTGAGGAATGTTTTTTCAAAGTTCTTTTTTTTAGAAATGTGCATGGTTTAAAGTTATGTTGAGAGTAGCTAACATTGGTTTTGCGTTTTGAGTTGTTCAAGATTTCATTCTATTAAAGTTGCAAAAGTAAATGCTCTTCTATGATACGTTTAATTTGTTCTACAATGAAACACGCAAATCTAATAAAGGTCAATTTACCGCAGAAGCAATGTAAGAGGCAGTGCTAGAAGTGATGAAATAATGGCTTGGCATTTCAAACTCTTCAAAGATACGTAAAAAAACTACGTCGGTGAGTTAGATGGCACCGAATGGTTGCTTGGATTTTGTCGTAGACATCCTAACATCAGTCTTCGACAAACGGAAGGTTGTAGTCTATATCGAATGACTTTTTTTAACTTCCATAACATTAACCTTCAAACTACCGGGTGGGAAAATTTACACATCGTTTCGGGTGGGGTCCGTTTGGACCCCATGGCCTTTTTTAGCCAAAATTAAAGAATTAATCAAAAATTTTTAACGAATCCAAATTATTTATTAATTTTAAACACAACCAAGTTAAAAAAATTACATAACAATATTAAATAAGCATTTTTCGTTACAGTTTTTTGTTCCAGCATTCCTGACATTCAACGTTACGAGTAGAATATTCTCGGCAAACAAATCTTTTGCAGGAAATGCAAAAATTTCTTGATTTCTGTCCCTGCTACTTATATAGACGAAACAGCGTCCGCGGGATTGTACTGATATCGATTTTGATAACGTGCCATTGATAAAACAAAATTTAATTTTTTACAGTGATTACATTGTCACACTGACACCGATACTGACACTTGCAAGTCAGTATCAAAACTGCAACGCCGTCTATAAACTAGTAAAGAATAAAACAATGGTTTTTGTAAGACTAAATTCCCAGAATAAGACCTGCAGGTGCAATAAAATCTCCAAAATATAGACAAAAAAATGGCAACATAAA